TCAGAAAATGGAGTTATACAATTAAATTTAAAGGTTTCTTACACACAGTAAATCTGTCCATTTAAGCACTTTTTCTTTAGTAACATAAAATATATGCTGTATGCCATACACAGAAAATGAATGATGAATAATGTGATAGATAAGTCATTTTCCCCCAAATGAATTGATGCATTTTTACAGGAAGCGCATTTTGAGTGCATGTACTTTATATGGCGATTCCCACATATTTACAGTATTAGTCCATGGGTCAAAATCTTAAAAGGCACACATCCCCTAGGACACAATCTTAAATGATTTTTTTTTCTGTAAGGTAGGACCCTTCCCTATCAGCTTGTTGGCTCTAAAGTTTGGAGTGGAAGTGACCACTAGGACTATTACCTTGGTCCCCGATCAAGAACATTATAATTTTAAAATATTAATATAGGCCTATTTGCTTATTTACGTTAAACTTAAAACTAATTTTAAAAACTGTAAAATAAAGATTTGCATGATTTTAAATCATTACTTTCTGTTTTATCATATGGAAACGTTGAATCATCCGCTCAATCTCAAAAGACTAAGAATGAGATAAGGACGAATGGAACTGTCTCTGAACGGGGTGGTTGGACTATAAACTAGTTGGAAAAAGTTGCGAACTAGTAAGAATGGTTTGGACGTATATTGGGAACGAAGTAGAACTAGTTAATAATGGGTTTACGAGTGCACACATTTGTTATCTCTTTCTCTCTCTCTCTCAGCACGTTATATTTTGATACTGTTGGATAAATTAGAACATCCAGTTAATACTACTACTAATAATAATTAAACAAATAATGCTAATAATAATTGATTGAAGTTGTGTTGCGTCCTTGGGTTTCAAATAGAAATTCAAAGTGTGCTGAAGTAAGATCCTCATGTACAACTGTCCCTGTATCTTTCACGTTTTTGTTATTCTTAGCATGCTTGATGAGCTCTTGGCGTTTCCTGTCCGACCATTATTGAACATGAACCCCACGACATCCTAGCATTCATTCGACGTCCCGAGGCCGCCATCTAATTATTAATTTATGTATTTGATTATGTATCAAATCGAAAACGCAGAAATTAAAAACAAACAAACAAATCAGTCGTCTATACTGCATCTTCAAGTTTAGATTACCTTTCATCCTGTAACTGGTCGGTAGTCTTTACTGCATCTCCAAGTTGAAAAATACATTCATCCTGTTACAGATCGAACATATTTACTGCATTCCAAGATGATGAAGACATTCATCCCGTCACGGAGCGAATGTGTATACTGCATCTTCAAGTGGAGAAAAACGTTCATCATGTCACTGATCGGTCGTCCTTATTGCATTTTCAAGTTGGAATACTTCATCTTCGACGACTGGACAAGTTTACGTAATTTGTTATGTCAATCAGTTATATTCATATTTTTATACAATGGGGGGGGGTTAAAACAAATAATGAATCTCATTATACTGCTGACAATTCTTTTCTTTTTTTTAATATTTGTATATATTTAGATTTGTTCTACGTTAGTTTGACAATGAGATGGTGTTGATTTTTTATTCATTTTGTTTTTATATGTGCACAGACTCCCTGAAAAGCAGTTCTTTTTTGACTGAGTTTGCGTTTAAACCATGATTAAATAAAGGCATATAAAACAATACAAAGTTGAAAAAAGGATGTTAATTTGGCGTTTGATTCTATCAAGTGCTTTGTCTAGTTTACTGCCCCTGTAGTAGCCGACAAGAATTCTTCCGTCAAATATATCTTGAAGAATCTTAGCAAAAGATCCCAGTTTCCAGTCATGATGGTGTCTAGAGCCCAGTTCGAGGATGCTATTGTTGACAAGGTTGAAAGTATCTCAACTGATGTTTGAAATATACTAATGAGATAATAACAATAATAATAATGATTATTATTATTACAATAATGAGAATTAAAAAGATGATAATGATAATAATACAAATGATGATAATTGTAGTAATAATAATTTTGATGATGATAATAATAATAAAAATTATGATGATAATCATTATAGTTATAATAATATTTCCATAAAGATCATGATCGAAATCATCAGCATCATTTGAAATTCAAACTGATACATCTGAATCCTAAATAAAAAAATCGATTAAAGGCTACATTTCGTGAATAAGGCTTCCTAAAAAGACAACACCACACTGTCCTAATTGTAGCTACTTGCTCCCTCTATATAGAAAACAATGCCTAATCGGTGACCATTGGTCCCCCATAATCCTCTTTTTGTTATGTTAATTGAGAGCTGAGTTTATGGGGAGACAGGGAGACAGATCCAATGTTAAAATGAGAAAGCTTCATTATAGGATGTTATCGTTTAAAGGGACGATTTATAGGCGGATCAAGGGGGATGAATCGCTGTCTTCCCCCCCCCCCCCTCCCCCCCCCCCCCCACCTCATCATGAAAAATTATCATAATTCGGAATCTTTAACTTCTTTTTTAGTTTCGGAATTATGAACCATTTCGTTGTTTTTTCAAACAGACTTACAATCAACTCCAGGAAAATAAATTCAGTGCTTCTAAACATGCGAAGGATGAGGAAAAGCTGCTATATCTGAGCAGTCTGGTGAACCCTCGAAAAGTTGTCAGGAGGTCCACGAGACTGAAATTGTCAGTCTAGTGGTCTGTCTGTTTAGTGAGCCGTCAAAAAAGATGTCAAAAGGCCTGTGAGACCGACATTGTTGGTCTTGTGGGCTGTCATCTCTAAAACCAATTATACTCTAGGACCGCGTACTTGTCGACATTAGTGGATATAGTTAGAAGATTTGATTTCACTATTCTTAAGAAATAAGTCCACATTAACTAGATTAATGACACCTCAAGCCAAAATTTATTTAGAACTTTAAAAGAAAATAAATTGACAATACATTATCAAGTAACAATTCATTGAATATTTGTGACTATGTACATCCATTGCAAAGAACACAATGCGAATGCTCTAGTAATTTCAGCATTATGACATATGTCATGTACAACCAAAAAATTAAATACACTCCTCCCTATAGTTAAATTGTAATACAATTATTAAGAAAATAGCTCTGCATCAACAACATCATTCTTTTTGTACAGATAACAGGCTTCTAAACAGAAAACTACAAAGTGAAAATCGAGACTAAAATTCAAGGTGATGGAGCATAACATATAAAATTTTAGGAAGATAGTTTAAATCTATTTACAATTTTTTTTTTTTACACTGATCGTTTCAATGCAATCGCTTTAAAGGCGTATTTTTCTTAATGTGCATCCAAATAGAATCCATAACTATACAATATGAGACTGAAGCACAACTTTCTAGTAAAGGATGTAGTAAGTTAGTTTGTAGGCAAAATTAATATCTCATTTCCTAGAGGGACCAATGAACTTAAATAACTACAAGTAGGTATTCCCCTAACCTAGGAGACTTAGACAAATAATTGCTTCTTTTGTTTACAGGGCTGTAATAATTTAAAAGTACAATTACATGTTTGTTTCGTTTGGTCTATGTCTTCCTTTATGTATTGATACTTATCACAGATGTAAAGTACTTAACACTGTTTTAATTATCACAGCCCTGGACACGGCCAGCAAATAATGTGTGCAACATCTCGCCTTATCCCCCTCCCCCCCCCCCTCCCCTCCATTAGTTCATGTAGGGCAATATGAGTAGACAACCACACAAATTTAGTATATCTTACCAGGTTCCTCATTCAAATACCATGTATGGAGCTACCTCACAATTCCAAGACTACAAAATACATTTCCATTCCAACCTTCCAAATAGTTACTTAAGGCAATGAATACAATTCACTCATAAGTGTTGATGAAGTGAAAAGCGAATATTTTACAATATCACAGTGTAAGACTGTGTCTGTTTGTAAGCAGTTTTCATACCTTTCAGGTCAACATACTGGCAATCATTAGCTGATTGATACATACACTACATGTTGATAAGAGAAAACACATCATAGAAACAAGCTATAGAAGCCTGATACCCAGGTCATTTGTGTCATTCAAATGTTAATGTAATTAGAATGTTAAACAGAGTTCTATCAGAATTTTCTATAACATGAAAATATTTGTAACATTGTATTATCTTATTCTCTTATTTTCTAAATTTAATTCAGCGAATACTTTTCACTCATTATTTAAACTACATTTAGGTACGGACACAAATCTACAGAAAGTTTGAAAACTTCAAGGTACTATATATCATTTTTGATGTCTCCATTCTTCTGTTTAACCTTCAATAAAAAAAAGTGTGAACACGCAATGAGAATTTCAATTGATATGTTGTGTAACAAGTGTTTTGTACGCTTGACAAGTATCTCAATTTTTTTTCTCTTTGACAGATATTACTTGTCCAATTAAATCAAGAAATGTTATTTTTCCTGATAAAATGCTAATCTCGCTATTTATTTTTAAGAATATTCTCGTGCAGAAAATTCTGGAAGGATTTTATGACATTTTTGATGTAAATAGTACATTAACGCCATTCTAAACTTTTGTAGTGATAAATATGTACAATAGAGGAAATCTTACCATGACTCAAATTGATCGAATTTCATTTATTTTCAATGAAGTCTTTTATTCAATCAGTACCTATTTGTAAAACTTTAGTCTGTTACTGACTTTTGCAAACACTTATAGTGTGGTTGTAAGAAATGGTTGAAACATTGTTTCATATTTTATTTATAAATTTGTGTTAATTTTTTAAATAATAATATTGCAAATTTTTCTTATAAATTAATTAGTGGCCAATAATAAATAACGAATAAGAAATATGATTTGCATTATCGTGCGTTTATCTGATAAGACTATCCCGGTTATCAAGCAAGACATATTATTATTATTATTATTATTATTATTATTATTATTATTATTATAATTATCATTATTGCTATCATTATCATCTTTATAATTCTCATCAATATTGTTGTTAGTATTGTTATTATTAGTAGCAGTAGTATTATTAATATAATAATTAATTTTATCTTAAGAAATTGAATTCATTGAGTACATAAGTGCTTGCCATATGTGGATTAAAAATTTCATATTTCAAATTTCATATTACAAATCTGTGTAGAATACTGTTTGATCAATCAAAATATCCTAGTTCGACCATTAGTCTTTCATCAATTACAAAAGTCAATAAACAATGTATTAACAATATGATTGTGAATGGAGTTGGAATATTTTTGCCTTTTATAATAAATGGAAATATGGAAACAGCTTTTGACATTTGAGTTCATTTAGGTTCTATAAGTGATGAGCATGATGACCACTGAGAAAAGAGATGTCAGCCATGTCACACAGCTAGAAGTGAGACCCTCAGAGTTGGAATTGTTGTCGTTGCATTTTGATGCAGTACAACAGGATGTGCAATTGGTAGCACCATTAGCCATAGTGCAGTAAGGTCCACCACCTTCATGCAAGTCAATGCATGGCTCATCTATGCATCCACGCGACACAACCGTGTATGATGAGTTCTCATAATGTTTAGTCTGCAAGAAATGAAGAAGTTTTATGATAGCTATGTAGCTTGATCGTTCGTACCTAGTTGAGTTTTTGGCAGTATTTTTTTTTTTAAACGAGATTGAAGAATTTTCTTTTTATCTTTTGATTTCTTGCAAATTCTATTCGCACGGCTTTTCGCCTCATCCAGTTAAAGGGACTTGGTAACATTGTAAAGATGAGAAAAAATAGTGCTAAGGAAGTGACTTCAATGCTAGATGTACAATTAAAGATAATCTGAAAGTTTGAGTGAAAACGGACCATTATTAACAATAAAAATTGGGGGAAACTGATCTGATCAATACCTTAATTCTCCCAACTATATTATTACAATTTAACTACATTTTAGTTAAATGTAAATCGTCACAAAGCAATGAATTGGCTCTATATATCATTCCAGACATTTAAGTGTTGACAGATTTTTAAAAGCCTGTCTTTTGTCTTATTTTTATGTAAAAACGGTTTGGAAAATTCAAAATTGGTTAGGAGAATTTACTGTTAATCACTGTTAGAGGGTGTTGCACAGTGACGCCTTCTTAGAAAACCATTAATGTCTTTGTGGTTTGAGAATTTTTTCAGGATTTTTGGCATGTTAAAGGTTTAGTACAGTAGAAGGAAGATAATAAATAACATTTTAAGACAGGCTTTACTACTTCAGCCAGAAGGGATTAGACCACACAGCGAGCCAGCGAGGTTATTGTGACAGGTGGCTATCTCATTAACTCAGCTCTCATTTAACATAAGAAAAAGAGGATCATGGGGGACCAACAGGCACCGATTGGGGAAGATTTCTATATAGAGGGAGCAAGTAGCTACAAGGAGGACAGTGTACCTTTAATACAAAAATGACGCAATTTTTTAGTCCACCTTGAACTATGTTACCGAGTCACTTTAACTAATGTTTTTGTCCATTGGTTTTTTTATAGACATCCCACTAAAAAAATATTCTCTTGCTTTGTAATGTATTTCATTATTTTTTTTCTTTGATAAGAAAAAATAAAGCAAAAGAGAGAAGAAAAAATTAAAACCAAGACAAACGGACAAAACTATCACTTACCCCGAGTACATGAGGACGAAATAAATAAACAGATGAGACACAACATAAGATTAGGTGAAAATTAACGTTCACTTTGTACAAATTCATGTCTTCTGTTTCACAACATCAGTTTAGAGATATATCCTCATTGTATTTCCATTATAATCCCAAACTATTTACACATGCCAGATCAACCCTGTGAAGAAAAATGTAAATGTCAAAGTATTTACATACCCAGCAACTCTGTCCTTCAGAGCATGTAGAAGTTAGTACTCCAGAACCGCTTGCAATGTCATCAGCAGTAGAGCAAACATCCGTTATGGAGTAAGTCATACAAGAATAACATTGAAGAATAGTGTCAGCCTCAGTAGCCGTAGTGTCAGCCTCAGTAGCCGTAGTGTCAGCCTCAGTAGCCGTAGTGTCAGTCTCAGTAGCCGTAGTGTCATCCTCAGTAGCCGTAGTGTCAGCCTCAGTAGCCGTAGTGTCAGCCTCAGTAGCCGTAGTGTCAGCCTCAGTAGCCGTAGTGTCAGCTTCAGTAGCCGTAGAGTCAGCTTCAGTAGCCGTAGTGTCAGCCTCAGTAGCCGTAGTTTCAGCCTCAGTAGCCGTTGTGGCAGCCGTAGTTTCAGCCTCAGTAGCCGTAGTGGCAGCCGTAGTTTCAGCCTCAGTAGTTGTTCCACGAGCTTCAGTAGTTAGCAGATTCAAAATATAACTTACAGTTAGTATTATGCATGGTAGAGGCGAGATCAAACCTTGTCTATTAAATACGTATTTTAATACATAAATAAATAATATACAAATGAATGAAAGACTACAGGATTAAAGGATAAAGCTGATATTACCGGTTGTTTTAGCCAATCTTTCGGCATCTAAATATAGCCTTGGTCGTAGGCTGTACGACAAAGAGAATTTTACAAAATAGTACTCACGATTTTGAAATATATGAATTGTAAAGTAACGAGAATTGGGTTTTCTACATGTTGATTGTAACTTCGACCGGTGCTCATCAGCCCCTCTCCCATAAGTGAGCTTAGAGAATACGACTAACAATGGAAACATGAAATAAAAATCATATTAAAATACATTGAGACAGCGTAACCATAAGATATCTTTATTACCTTGCAGTACGAACAGGATAAGAAGCAAATTTGCTAACATTGCCACCGTAAAAGATTCCATCTTGAAAATTCGAAGTTTAGTGCTGCCTGGAATAAATCCTCTGAGAATATCTATTCATGATAAATTTTGTCAATCAAGAAATATGATATGCAAAAACATATATACACACACAAGAACACACATATATATTTATATATACTGTTGCCAATAAAGTTGGAATAAAGTTTCTGCCTCTTTCAATGTTATGATTGTAATAAATATGTGATGATAAAATACTCTAACTTTAATTTGAAGACATTGTTCTTGGCGTCTTTGTTTATTTATTACACATCTTTGTTGAGTCTGTACAGTGAGTCTGTGTCGAAGTTTGTCGCCTGTTTCGCCTATGAATTGTTCTCCAGATAATATGATATATTTCTTTTTATATATCGGCAGGTTTTGCATCGTTTATCAGCACATTTCTTAATCATGTTTCATCTTAATCAATTTGATTATCATGAGTTTTAATGAAAACAAAGTACCGTAAATCTCCGTGTATAAGGCGCACTTTTTTCCGGTAATGTGTTTTTTACGAAAATCAGCATGTGATACTATTGTGCAAATTCGTCTAGCTAGTTAGAATTTAAGTACCGTGATATTATAGAATATATCAGTTTCAATTAAAACACTTTTGTTTGTTGCTATAGTTTCAAACTAAAATATGATGTTCGGATGTAGTTGTTGAAGAATATTGTTGAGTAATTATAGCTCCTAATTCTGCCTTCCAGATAATAAAACAATCATCCAGATCTATATATCAGCCAATTTTCCTTTTAACAGGATTCTACTACACTATTAAAGTGACGTTCTTCATTAGTATATAACTTAATTTCTAGATAGCCTATCGATAAAATTGCATATGAAGGAGCCATTTCTGTTACAATGGCCGTCCCCCTGATTTGTTAATAAATTTAATTATTAAAACAGAAGGAATTATTAGTTAGGATAAATCTTAGAGCATTATCTATGAACTCCTCGGTAAAACGTGAATCAACAAAATTGCCATATTTTCTAGCTAAAAGGTTGAGCTTTCTATTCCTGCATCGTGTGGGATATAATATGTCTCCAAACTGTTCAAATCATAATTATGTGACAAGGATAGAATTATTACTAACAAATTAAGAAAAATTGTTAAATAGTCCCTGACAAAGCTTTTGTACAAGGGGTTTCAATATGATATCAGTAAAATTGCTTACTTTATATGTAGTGCATATTTGATCATCATAATCGATCTCATTTACAGATTGTTAGTCATTTTACATTTCATGTTTTATTTCCATCTTTTCTTCCCATGGATTAACTATTAAGGCGAAAGAATATAGGTAGTCTGTATTGCTTAAGCTGACAAATCCGTAAAGCTAAACACTACATGAGTTATGATTTATATATATATATATATATATATATATAGATATAGACAAATTTTACTGTATTTATGGATGACAATGCTTGTGCGGATCAGAATATTTACAATATGTATGTATATATATTTCTGGTCACTCATTGTCAGACAAAAATACCAAGAATTAACTATAAGCTAAACACTGCTATGATTTGACAAATAGTTTTTTTTTTAAGTAAGAATGTTTCGAATTACTATAATTTGGAAATATTCAAACTTCAAAGGGTCAAAATGACTTATTTTAGTTGCCATATGTTGATGTTTCGGTGGTGTGAATGATTGTTTCTGTTTGGTATGTGCGTGTGGACATGGTATATATGGCACTGTTTTTTTTTTTAACTATGACCAAATAGCTAAATGGCCCTTTGAGAGCCTGAAACTTTACAAAGATAAAGAATTAGAAATCAGTTACAACTTTTTTTTGTAGCATGGACCTAGGTTAACCTCCCATAGCTTAATGAAACATTTTCATCGTTGCTTTATGCGCATGAGGTATCCCTGAACATCAAATTGTTTACAGAATTTCGTAACAAAATTGACATGCCATTTTGGTCGGAGCTGAAAAAAATATATAGCCACAAACAATATGTTCTTTTTATATTGATGATTAATGAGCATGAGTGGATCTTTAAGAAACTTAACAATAATCTGAATCAACTCCCCTATTTTGATGGAAAAGTGCAATTGAAAATGGCGTTTCGGACGTTACATTTTCCGTAAACAATGTAGACCCTCATTTAACCCAGTAGAACAACAAATTAATGAGATTGTATATGGTTTGAGTGAGTTTATTAGTTGCTCCAAGTGATAATATTAAAAGAAAATATAATTTAATTATAGTAGCGCTTGTATTAGAAATATACTCAAAATTTGAAAAAGTCGTCTCATTTTCCGTAAACAGTTTTGTAACGTCCGAAACAATTTTCAATTTGAAGTAGCAGAAAATTTATGAACAGCAGGATATATCTATCATAACATTTTGTTAACATCTCATGGCAGCTACCCACCAAAACAAAGGAATTTGCAATACATTACTACAATACTATTTTATAGTTAAAACCAATTTTCCGTTAACAGTTGTAACGTCCGAAACAAATGTAACGTCCGAAACAAAAAATACCAATAAAATGATGATAATCCATATTTTAAGGTATCTAGAGTGAACAAATCATTATGAAATAAGTTATTATAAGTCTTAACACAAGTCAAAACACAAATCAGGTCTTTCAAATCCATTAATTTTTTGCAATCACAAGAATGGTGTTTCGGACGTTACACAATTTTATTGTTAACACAAAGTCGACAAATTTCACCTAATAATGACCATGGACGACTATCCTATATACGATGGGTCCTCTAGTTGACGTTCTACCTCAGGAAAGGAGAGTTTTCCCCTGATCCCAACCTGCAAAATGCGGTAACATCATTTTGTCTCAAAGCGGGATAGGCGTCTGGCGAAAGTATAATAGAATAGGCGAATTTTCTTTTAAATAGGTTATTGAATTAATATTTATCATGTTTATATACATGTACTCGCTCTCAACCTGCTGCTCTTCTCAGTGAAAACGGTAATATATTTTGTATAAAAGCTGCGCTATATAAATTTATTATTATTATTATTATTATTATTATTATGTTGTTTTGTGGTGGCTTATCTGGTATATTTCTGTGCAATCTCTCAACGAAAACTGGTATAATTCAATATGATATTTCTTTTCTTTTTAACCTTGACTGAAAAGTCGCCGGTTTGAGAAAAAGGTGCTTTTGTAAAAGAACAAGGGAGTTAACAAAGACATGTTGTATGTCACGTGATATAATATGAATGCATACCTAAAATGAATGATGCAAGCATGTGATCGCTTGCCCTTAAAAAAAAACCAATTTGAATGCATATTTTAGCCAACTGAATGTTGATCCTGAGCATTGGATTCGAATGAATGAGAAAGACCTGATAATGAACTTTATTGCTGTTCTGATGATTTTGACCCGAAGAACATTTATTTTGTTTTTCAGGCGCACTGTTAAAAAAGTTGGGCCGATGTTACTGGGTAAATCGAAGTTGGGCAAATTTTGTCCGATAATTGGGCTATTTTCTCCAAACCATTTATTATATGAAGTTACCTCATTAAAGGTAAAAAAAAATAGGTTGGGTAGGTGTTACTTGGCAAATCGATGTTGGGCAAATGTCGTCCAACAATTGGGTTATTTCCTACCAACCATGTAGTAACCAATGAAATAATTGGGTAATATTATTGGGGAATTAGAGTTGGGCCATTTTTGTCCAACATTTGGGTTATTTTCTCCCAACCATTTACTACATGTATTTACCCAATTACATGTTCAATATAAGTTGGGCAGATGTAACTGGGCAAACGTAAGTCAGGCAACATTATTATACAATAATTATGTTAAATTATCATATAAGAGGGTCGTGGTCGAGTGGATATGTCACACAACTGTAGATCACAAGATCCGCGGTTCGAGTCCTGCCGCGGCTCAAATGTCCTTTTGCATATAATATGTTATCCAACTTAATCGCCCAACTAGCGTGTAATATATGCTACACATTATGGTGAGAATTGGGTGAATTTCTGATTGGGTTAATTTTTGTTGATTAAAAGTTCGGTATATTCTTTTTATCCAACACTGGGTAAAATCATGCAAAATCTTTAATTTACCCAACAGTTGGTTGGACATATAATTGCCCTCATGTTAGGTAAAAATTGGCCAATTTTTTGCCCAATATGTTTTAGAATGCGGGCACTTTGCTGAATTTGAGCACACTATTTTAAGAATCTGTCCAGAGTATCCGTTGAGCATCCCGCTTATAGTAGAAAAAACAATATAACAACCATTCTTCGGTGCCCGCATTAAGTTTATTCATCAATTGTTTTATTTCATTTAAGGTAACTATCTATAATTGGCCATCATTACCTACTCTTCTTTATTTACGACTTTGCAAGAAACCCTATTTCATATATTGTTCTTTCTCTCGTCATGTCTATACAGAGTCGAAATTCGAAGAAAAATAAAATATTTCATAGGGAGCAATAAAGCATTACAACTAATACTACATAATGAATAATGAATTTGAATTCCCAAACGTATGCTATTTGAAGTTCCCATGAGTTTGAAAAATTGTTTAAAGCTACTTTAAATTAAATATTCATTCAATCAAAGTGTTTAGTTTGATGCAAAGTATTTCAAAAAAAAATCCCGAAAATCTAATCTAATCGAAAGATCAAATAAAATTTTCATGAGCTTTTAAATAAAATTTAAATGAAATCGAATTATTATTTATTTAGCTGCTGTTTCGATAAGTATGAACGGAAACCCAGTGATCTGTTTCTGTTTATTAAATCGTGTGATTACAAAATCAAATTTTCATGTTTTATATCATTGATAATCATTTTATCTTTTTATTCAGTTATGACATAATAAACACACTAGTTTGCACAATTTCTCTTATTATTATCATGTGAAAACAGATTCGTGTTTTGAAGGAGAAATAATCAAAATTTTGCAAATTGAACCAGTTTTTTAACGCTCCTTTTATATAATACAGTTTTAATTCACATTCCATTAGATACAAATATTCAGTTGCTTTCCTACAAAGTAGAATGGAATACTTGTAGCTTATTTAATGTTCATTCTACCTGACAGACCACCTGACTCACTATATTCGAGGAAATCTTCCATCATTTTTGCTGATATATGGTTGAATTTGACCGTAAAACAAACAAATTATCTTCTTCGATCTCAATCAGAAACGACATTTCAAATACCTTTCATTTTCTATCTAAAAACAATGTCGTGTGATGTGAATTTTTTTTACTGAATCCGCTTCATTTTCAACTAATTAATTTCAATTCAAAGTAAAAAATCTATTTAATTTTACTTCTCCCCTTATGTTATAGCAATGAAGTGATATATATTTATATATATATATAGAGAGAGAGAGAGAGAGAGAGAGAGTATCACGAGTATAATTCTCGAACATATAACATCATACAAATCCCACACAATATTTTTCATTTGTATAACTTATCATAAGATCTTTGCAATCCTTGAAAGTTATTGATCTATTATTGTAGGAATGATTACAGGGCTTACCATACATCCAATGATTATCTGTTAGTGAGGTCGCTTTGGAGCGCAATAATTCTATATATCGCTTAAGTTCTTCTTACTCTAACCCCGTATATTGTTGTACTTTTCATGAACACGAATATTATGAATGGATGTCCAAATTTTGAGCCACATTTAAAAAATGGGAATTCAAGACTTCTCATTCTACAGCATTTATTTAGATCAAATAGTTAGAATTGTACAGAAAATTTTCAGACTACACTTTTGTTTCGATTAGAAAATGTATCGCAAAGAATTCCCGAGATATCACGATCTAAAAAATTCATGTTGGATCGGAACGTGCTGCAACCGAGGAAAAAAAATTCGTTAAAAAAAAAGTTCAAATTTCATGAACGTGAGTTTAGGGCTGGTTTATCCAAAATAGAGACCAATGCAAACAATTAAGATTGCACCGATAGGCGTAATACAATCAGTTGTTAAGTTTTAAGATACAATTTTGACAACATCTTCAAAAAGAAATTGTTCAGACCCTTGTCGGTAAATTTATATATATATATATATATATACATATATATATATATATATATATATATATATATATATAAATGTATTTTTGAACACATATAATTGATCTGTTGTTAATAGTTTCATTATTTCTTCATGTTCTTTCCCACTTCTAATTTGGCAGTTGCCTTTATTACCTATTTTATTAGGCTAACATCTAGATAAATACAAATATTATAAAAACCTATGAAGTTCTATGAACATAATGATATGTTTTTTTTTTATAACACATTACGATTTTAAGTGAATTGCACTTTTTGTTTGCTATATAAATGAACTCACCTTTGTCAGAGAAAAAGAATATGATCCTTCAAACAGAATATAGCATAAACAGATTACCAAGTTCCCATGGGGCTAGATGTAGTTCCAAGCTTGATAAATTAGCATTTACCTACGAATGATCAAGGTGTGTTCATCTTATACCACATTCCTTCTTTCAAAAACTAGTTTACGATTGGTGTTTCTATGGTAATAGAAAAAACAAACATATTTCGGATGGGGGGGGGGTCTACTCACGTCATGGACTAACGAGTGTCTGATCACATTATTATTTATTCCATATTCCACACAAAGTCGAACGTGTTCTCACATGCTAAGTACAAATGCAAACAAAGTTAGATTGGGGGACATTACCTCAAACAACTTTCAAAAGGAACAGCGCAGTGATCGATCATTATTTTCTCGATTTATGTACTTGCTCAAGGCCGATGTGCATGACGTCTCAATGTTATTGTACCTGTTAGAATGAAATAGATACATTAAATCATGTACTACTTTGTAGTAGGTCCATAATTAAATCAAGCTGTGCAGATAACATCTAACCTACATTTAAAACCATGGATATAGTTCGGCATATCTACAGTGTCAGTCGAATGTACTAAGACAAATTTCATTCATAATAGTTGCGTGTTTTTGAAGAATCTTAAAAAATTACTGCTTCTGGAATTATCGATCCCCTTTCAAACAAATATTCACAAAATTCACCAATAAAAAGGGAAAAAGTCACTCCTCTAATTTCCGATAATAAATCACGATGATATTCTGTACAATAATTTGCTATCGAGTTGGCTCTCGGGGTTTCATCTCATCGGGAAATACGAAACGACTCAAATCCATCCCCCAACAAATTTGCTAACCAACATAGTTCGATTTTTTTTTGGGGGGGGGGTAACATTTCTTAATTAGCAGTGACCTCTTTATTTGTAATTAATTATGCCACAAATGGGAAATCCAAACTTACAAACCCTCACAAAGTTCGAAATTTAAAGACCGAATCTTCTTGAAATACTATCGATATTAACTGGAATATAAGATCTTAATTTCAAATCTATATAAATTCAAGAAACTCGTTGGAACTAAATCATATGAAAGCTTTTTTTTATCACGGATAAAAACATTCTGTGTATATATCCCCCACAATCCATTACCTTTACAAACTCTTTTCTCTATGGACATGAATAAATAGTGTAGTCTTTTGTTTATGATCTTAATCTTTATTTAAAATCTATATAAATTCAAGAAACTCGTTGGAACTAAATCATATGAAAGCTTTTTTTATCACAAATAAAAACATTATGTGTATATATCCCCTGCAATCAATTTCCTTTACAAACTCTTTCCTCTATGGACATGAATAAATAGTGTAGTCTTTTGTTTATGGTTTTTGGTGGTGATATGGCTGTAGTCTGTCTTGGTTCTTTTATAATCGAACCTTTAACATTGATGTTCATTGAGCAAGCTATTCGTTTCCTTTCCCCGTCATTCAAAAAAAAAAAAAGGCAGGGCTAGGCAAATAAGGGAAAAGAATTAAAAAGGCACGGTGAGTAAATATTTGTGTTCAGTTCACATTGCCAAGTTAATGAAAAGATTCGCTAGTAGCAACATGAGTGCAGGAATAGGTCGTGATGATCCGGCGTTCGTACCATTTAAATACAATAGACCATTTTCGTAATAACCAAATGTAATGAATACGTCATTGTGAAGTGCCTCGATAAAAATGATTCCATTCACCTGTCACGAATAATTGTATATAAATAGTCAGAAAAAAATTGCATGTATAACGTGTTGCTGGGTAGGGTACGCTGTAATGCTTGTCCTACCTAGCAACGTCAAATTTAAGCGGTTTGCATTCTGACTATTGAGATCTTTGAGATCATTCGTAACAGTTAAATGAAATAATAATTATCGAGGCACTTTACAAAGACGTTTATAGATTATTGCTGATTTACAGCATCTATGGAATTCAGTCTGGTTCATTTTTCATGTTACTCATTTTACTTTATTCTATGTATATATATATATATATATGTGTGTATATATATGTATATATATATATATTTATTCCCTTCCTTTTATCTTCTCTTTGCTATGTTTGCTACTCTTTCTTTAATCCTTCCACTTTTTGTCTTCTGTCTTTGCTTATGTTATTCTTTGTTCTTATCCTACTATCATTTTCTTTTATTTCTTAAGCTATTCTTTGTTTTTAAATCTATCATTTTCTCTTCTACATTTCCTTATGTTATTATATCTTTAATCCTTCTACCACTTTCTTTTCTATCTTTCCCTTTTCCTGTTATTCTTTTTATTTAGATTTCATCTTTTCCTTAATCATCCCCTTTGCAATTTAGTTTTTTTTTCCTATTACCTATTTTCCTTTTTGTTATCTTTGTTATCCATTTTTCTCTTATGTTATACTTTTTTTAATTTATAATCCTATCATTTTCTCTTTTCCCTTTCCACTAATGTCCTTTGGCTAGACATTGATCTAAAATTTCCACATTCAACCCAGGTGATGTAAATAGGTACCTGGCAGGAATTAATTCCTTGAAATGCTAGAGCGCCGTAATGGCAGCATAGCTAAAGCCGGGATAATAATCTCCAAGCTTGGAAGCGCTTAGAGACTTAATTGTAATTCGCGCTATAAAAGCTGAGTATCATTATCATTATTATTATTAAGTTATCATTCCTTTTATCCTTCTCTCACTTTCTTTTTACCTTTCCTTTATATTTTGTGTTTTTCTTCTTTTACCTATATTCTTGATACTACTTGATATGGCGACTGGCTGAGCAACACACGTGCTTCTTAACCTCTCCAAAAGATATCTTTGTATACACTCTAGATAACATCTTCAAACAATCCACAAGTGGCAATTATTCCTGAAAGGTTTACTTCTCAATTGGAACATTTTAGTTTTCCATCATGACCCGCCGTAGCCAGAAAGAAGGAGCAAAGAAAGCCAACAAGAATGAGGGAGCAAACTTCTCCATCTTAGACGATGAGCTGGATGGTGCTGCTGCCGCTCCTGACGGGCCAGCTGAAACCTCAAATCCCGTAGAGGAAGATGACTTGGGCTCTGTCACCCCGTCTGCACTAGCTGAATATATTAAAGGTGCATCATGCAACTTCGAACAGATGATGAACAAGGCTATGAAAAATATGTTGGAAAGTCTTCAGAAAGTGGAAAAGGCCCTTGAATTTGAGGGTCTCCGGATCAATGATCTAGAACAGAAGAACAAGGAGCTGAAAAGCAGACTAGGAAAGATGGAGAAAGCTTATAATGATCTGGAACAGAGAGTTAGTAATCAAGATCGTGAAGCCAACAAGGCTGAACGATTCTCTCGGAGAAATAATCTGCGGATCGTCTGGATTGAGGAATCAACAGGCGATCAAACAGAGGATTGTGTCGTGAAAGTGGAAGACATCCTCAGTACGAAATTTAACATGAACATCAAGGTTGAGCGTGCTCATCGTGATGGGAAGAAAGGAGATAAGCCACGACACATTTTGGTCAAGACATTGTCAATACGTGAGAAGGTCGACATCATGAAGAAGTCAAGGGAGGCCCTAAATAAGGAGAAATACTACATTGTCGATGATCTGACGCTGGCAGACCTTACAGAAAAGAAGAAGTACAAAAAACAAGTACAAGATCTGTTCATGAAGGGAACTAAACTACGCTTTTATGCAGGAGTTTGGAGGGGTGATGGAGGTGTTCCTTATTTCTCTGCTTAAATTTAGTTTTTACTATAGTGCGACTTTAACTGACCACCCACTAGCTGGCTCAAGGACACAACTTTCTGTTTTATTTGATTTATGGCTTACTTCTCAGAAATGAGTCATGGCTCCTTGCATGTTATCAGCACATGTGTGCTCTTGCTCTCTTCTTCATTTTACCTCCTCTATTCCATTGCTACTAAAATTCTTCATGTGATTTGTGTTAGCTGTATTTTCACATTTTAATGTTTTTAGGAGTGTTTTGGCAGTTACTTTTACTACTGTTAACATTAATTTCTCTTAACATATAGTTTCAATTATGTTTGTATTTAATTATATTTTATTTTTTAAGACTTGCACCCATTCCCCGACCCCCTTTTCCTGCTATCATGCATTTTGTAGACACATTTTTGTTATTATTTCATGGACAATATATTCTTTGATGTTTCATGTAACTATATATTATGTTCAATATTGATGAATTGAATGAATCATTGGATGACAAAGTGGATTGTAAATATTATCTTCCTCATGAATTTAATTGAAGATTTGAGAGTGAAAATAATTCCTTTAGCTTATTACATACAAATGCACGAAGTCTTGTTAAAAATTATGAATATCTGAACATTCTGCTGTCGGCCCTCACCAAACCGTTTTCAGTCATAGGAGTCACAGAAACGTGGCTTAATGATACATCTCCATCTACTTTATGTAATATTGACAATTATTCGATTGTACGTTCTGATAGAAAAACCGGAAGGGGTGGTGGAGCTGCTATGTTTATCTCAAACTTGTTAACATACAAAATTAGATCTGACCTTAGTTTGAAGAGTGATGGTACTGACTCGATATGCATTGAAATCAATATGGCTCAAAGGAAAAACATCTTGATATGTACAATATATAGGCCTCCGCATACAAATGTTGAATTATTTTTGGATGAGTTTGATAGGATGCTGCATAAGGTCAATCTAGAAAATAAGGATGTTTACTTGATGGGTGATTTTAATATTGATCTTTTGCAGGAAGATAATACTTTTCATAATATGTTACGATCAAATTCATTCAATGCCATGATTGATAAACCAACCAGATTGGCAAATAACTCTTCTACATTGATAGATAACATTTTTACAAATGTCACCAATAACTATATAGGCTCTGGCCTCTTGTATAGTGAAATCTCTGACCACCTTCCAATTTTCCTGATTTGTAATCATGTTCGCAATTATCCTGAGGACGAAAAGAATCAAGCTATGATACGTAAAATCACAGCTGAAAAAATAGCCATGTTTAATGACGAACTACTCAAAGTAACATGGAATGACGTGGTCGCATGTACTGACACCAATAAGGCATATGCACTTTTTTGGAA